CCGCGAGGTCGTCGCCGTCATGAGAGGTTGCAGCCAACAGCTATGAATTAGTAGAACATGGAGAAGGAAAGTCCCAGCCGTACACGTGCAACCTAGGAGATCCGAGCACGGTCTGTCCTGTTGGCAGTCGTGATCCCTCCCGGCGCGGTTTCCTGGCGCTGCGCGCAATAGATGTCGAGGCGTGCGCACACGCTTTGCGATCTGTGTGTCCTGCGGCCAGGCACGAGTTCACGATTGCACGGAAGTGACAGAAAAGTCACGCTGCAGTCCGCAGGCTTCGTGTCTACAGCAGCCCAGACGGGCGTGGACGAAGGCAAAGCAAAAGAGAGTGAGGGGGGTCACGAGCAGGCAGCGTGCAGTGCAGGCGCCATTTCAGAACTACACCGTCGATGCTCAGGTTTGCTGTGCGCGGCGAGTTGCTGCTGTGGTGAAGAGATGAGAGGCCTGGGAAGATGGAGCGGAGCGGGACCTCGATGGGTTATGAAGAGACAGAATTAATTGCGAGGCGGACACGAAAGCAACGTGACGGCACGCCGAGCGGCTCTTCCCGAAGTTTGGCGTCCAGTCTCGACCTCACGCAGCGGCGACGTCGAATACTCACCACCACGCCCGCCCGTCTCGGATCACTACACACCGGGCTCGCCGCCGTCATGTCTCTACTCCGCTCGCGCATGCTCACGACGCCGCGCACACATCTCCAGATCATCCCGAATCTCGCCGCTCGCGCGCATACACGACCCCTCTCCTCTACCGCCGTCCGCAGCGCCGGCGACCACGCACACGAAGACCACTATGATCCCCCGGGCGGCTGGCTATTTGGAGTGAAGCCTGGAGAGAAGTACGAGAACGAAGGCTGGGAGAACGTGTGGTTTTACGGATTCTTTGGCACCATGGCATTCGGCGTCATTGGCTACTGCTACAAGCCCGACACCAGGTGAGTCAAGATGCTGCGAGCGCCGTCTGAGTGCTCCGGCTGATATTTGATAGCATACAAACATGGGCACTTGAAGAGGCACGAAGACGTTTGGAGGCGGAAGGCATTTTGGAGGACCCAGACAAGAAGCGATCATGAATGGGATACGTGTTGGGGACCCTAGGGGCGCCTGGGGCGAGCCCAGTCGATAGAGAACGCTGCCACGAGTGCGCACATGGTGTACATATTGAGTCGAGCGCATCGACAGGCAGCAGGTGATGCACACCGAGACTACGTACTCAAGCCTCATTACGCTGATTTTGGTATGCACCTAACACGAGCTACGGTGAGGTAAATGGGTGCACGGTTTTTCGCTGATCCAACAGATGACTCTCAGTCGACTGCGTGTTGTTGTAGAGTCGTGAGGTGTGCTTCTCGCAATCAATCCCTCAAAGCCTCCGCGAGCCAATATGCTGTATCTTGCATGCGCCGCCTTGCATCTGCAGAGTCATCCCATACACCAAGGCCCTTGACTTCATCCTGGAGGACCATATGTTCAGGGGACGGCAACTGCATCCGCTCCATGTCCCGCGATCGAGGTGACTTCACTCTGCTCTGCCTCTCGAAAGATTTCAGAAGCAGACGTCGAAATTCAGTCGCCTGTTCAGTAAGTTGCGACTCCACGCCTGTGCACAGCCTAAATCGTGGAAGTCTGAGAGCAAGCGATTTGCTCGGAAACCGCCGAGAGGACTTGCGCAATGACGCGCTGTCAACAGCTGGCGGAACTTCAGAGCTAAGCCCCTGTGGAAGAAGCTGATCCTGTTCGGCCTGGATCAATTCATCCATCTCGCTCATTCTCTGCATTGCATCAGGTGCTGGCGGCGGCACTCTCGAACCTGCCGCGCGGAAAAAGAGAATCGGAGACGCGAATGGGTCGAAGTAATCTGCTGCATTGCGGAAGAGCAGCCTTCTTGCCTCGCATATTTCGTGCATCGATAGTCGTGCCACGGTTTCCCTTCGAGGCACTTCGATACCTTCAGACGTTGTTCCGAAGTCGACCCAGTTCAACACTGGGTTGTTGATTGCCGCTGCCACCACCGCTGCCGGTTCCTTTGGACGGCATTCTGTGAGCGCTAACGCGGATGCCAGCGTGCCCCCTAGCAGCTCGCCACATACTGCAATCTTGGCAGCAGGCTCTCGACTGGACGTGCTGCTGGCAAGCATGTTTGCAACAACCCAATCGTAAGCCGCAGCCAAGTCGAACACTGGGTCTGGGAACTTGTGTTCTTCGCCATATCTGTAGTGAACCTGGATCACGGGACAGGCCAGCGTACTCCGTAGGGTCGTGATATTGAGGGCGTCATGTTGCGGGTCGTGCAGTAATGGGCCTCGTGGCAGGAAGAGAAGTGCCGCCCGTGAGGTCTGGCCCAGGCTCGGTGAATGTGAAGATTCCGGGTAGTGGATGCTGCGGAAACATCATCAACTTTCGTCTCGTATGGGTAGCGCAGCTCTTACTCCACGTCGAGGCTGCCATTGGCGACGCGCACCTGGACCCGCTCGCGTGCCGGCGCAATCGTGGCGAAGCGGTGCAGATGTGTGTGGCGCACGCCGGCGCAGCGTGGTCGTGGGTGACACAGGCATCGCAGCAACATGCCAATTTGCACGCCGTTGCAGTCGTCGACATGGGCATGGTGGCAGCTGGCGTCGGGGAATCCTGCTCAAGCCTCACGCTACGGCGCCGAGACGAGCCAGCGCGAGCCAAGCGGCGCGCCTGTCGTTTGGACGGCGCGAATTACGTGGGCGTGCAGTCGGCATGGTCATGCCAGCAACAGATCCGCGGGAGCGTCATCACGGCGAAGTTGGCTCTATTTCTTCGCACGCGATTGCGGCCGCCGCGTGCTGCTGGTGCTGGTGACATGTAGGTTTCTGCTGCGCCGCCGTTCGTTCGTTCACGTACATTACTCGACTCGAGCCCGCCCCCGGTGCCTGGTGACGCGTACCCACCGACGACTGCTCCCGCAAGACTCATTGCTATCGCTGCCCCGCCCCGCAGTCTCGACGGCAGCGACCTGCCCGCAGCGAAGTGAGCGCGCGACTTCTTGCACGTCCCGCGCGCAGTCATGACCGTGCAGATTGAGGTGACGCCTTCCTCGCCGCCGCCGCGACCTCCACAGCGGAGCGATACCATCGAGAGCCAGTATTTTGTCGACGCGCCCGAGACAGTGGAAGAGCAGGCAGAGCAGGCCGAGCTGCAGCACCAGCGTCAGCAGTTGCGCCGCAATGAGCCCTCCATCATGACCACGGCGTCAATGGCGTCGGTGCCGCCGCCAGGCTCCATACTCACCGGCAAGCAGGAGCACTACCTGAAACGAGAACTCATATCCTACCAAACACAATGGGAGATCAGCGAGCTGTCACACCCGACGGCGCTGCAGCGCTTTGGAGCGCCATTTCGATCAGATGTTGGCGAGGTTGCGCCTGAGGACTCCGAGCTACCTTTACTACGCTACATCTTTGTGCACCACGTGCGGAATTTTCCCTTCCTCGACAAGGCGAAAGAGAAGGAGTTTTGGCAGGACAAGCTGCAGACATTCTTGGAGAGCTTCGCTAACAAACATATCTCCTCGGCCGCCGACCGACTTGAACAGACCAAGCGTGCAAAGCTGGCCCTCAAAGCGACCAAGCTGGTGGAATTGATGATGGTCTCGGGTATCCCCACAGCTTCAGGATATGAAGAACGAATTCGCTTCGCAGAGATGGAGGTGGTGGATCGTGGGGCCAACGAGCAGGGACTCGTGGTAAACGTGCCCGAGGGCCACGAAATCAACGGCTGGGACGTCAATGTTGCGGGTGTGCGTATCGTCAGCGTGAAGAGACATGTCCGCCAGCATAAGCATGCAGAGTTCATACTCCGGGTTAAGCACAAGGATGAAAAGGAGCGATACGTTGCCAGACGCTATGGCGACTTTGCAAAGATGCACAAAAAGCTACGGCTAGAGCTGCCTGGCAAGGTTTTGCCTCCTCTGCCTCGCAAGAACAAGGCTCAATCGATATACAGTGGACGCGACGATGACGACAGCGACAGTATCTCATCGTTCTCCACTCAGGATACCTCCGCACCTTCCACGTTGGCGCCGGAAGCTCCGCCCGAGTCTGGCGGTGGACTGCGTGGCTATTTGTCATCTTGGACTGGCAGCAATAGCAATCGTCACAGTCGTAACGGATCGCGCACCTCATTGGCGCCATCCCCACGGCCGTCGATCGATGGTCCAACAAATTCCGCAGGTTCCATACCGAAGGAAACAGTGAGTGATACAGTATTGCATCGCGAGAACCAGCGCGTGTCCCTGCGGGCGTTTCTCCGAAATTTCCTCTCCAACGAAGCCATTGCAAACTCGCGTGCTATGTACGATTTTCTAACAGAGAATCCACTCATACCGAATCAGGAGGAAATGAAGGACATCCAACGACGCATTGTCATGGACGAGCGACGTCTAGAGGAGCAACGGCAGTTTTTCGAGGTGGCCAGAGATCGTGCACGAGAGCTGGATATCCATATGGAAAAGTTCCGCCGCAGTGTTGTGGAGAAGAATGGTCTTCGCGATCTTTTCAGCGAGATCAAGATCAAGGAAAAGATTGCCGACCTGGATTCTGAGTACAAGAAGTTTGCCGAGTGGCTTCGCATCGAGGTTGCGGCTACCTTGTATCACATGTTCCTGGCCGAAGACAACTCGCCAGAGCTGTTTGCGCAAGCTAAACGGATCCACAGCCTGGTTCCATATGGCGCGCTTAAACAGGTGATACGCTTCACAAACCCTGCAGCAGTGATGGTGAATGTACTTGACATTTTCATGGCGCAACCACTCGGAGCGAAGTCTCTACTGCAACGTATATTTGGTCTGGCTGTAGGCGACGGCATCCGCAGTTTGCAGCGCTCGATCGACACGCTCACTGCTAAGATCGATGAACCTGCATTGACCGAGAAGATCAGAAATTACACCGAGACCTACGAGGAAGTGAAGTCAAATATCCGGCAAGAAGCGAAGGATGAGCAAGTCGATCTCTTGGTCAAGGTGCTACAGAGTGAGGAGACTGAGCCGGTATTATCCTCCGAGCAAATTGGTCGAGTGTTCAACGCCTACGTGGCTTGGGACAATGCCGTGGAGAACGTCGACGAAGAAATGCGCCAAGGAGCAGAACTGTTTGCGCGCCTCAAGCAATTGCTCAAGTTGTACACCCGACAGCGTGACAAGAAAATGATGCTCGAAATGGTCGAGGAGCCGAACACTCTGCGCTTATTCCGCGACCTCTTCACGATCTTCTACGAGCCCCTTGTGCGGGTTTACAAGAGTGCGAATGTCTACAACAGCGTCACTGATTTCGCACGCTTCGCAGATGATGCCATCCAGACTATTGAGAAAGCGCAACGGCAGGATGTCAGCGCAGATCCCAACCAGACCGTCCAGAGCTTCATCGACTTGTGCGAAAGACACGAGGACGACTTGTACAAATTCATCCACGAGGTCCATCTTCACGACAACGGACTTTTTGACAAACTCATGACGTGGATCGAAGAGATACTTGACTTCTTGCGCAATGGGCCCAAAGGTGGCAAGTTGGATATGAATGCCCTGTTTGCTGGTGCCTTGGAGATGAAGCAAATTGATAAAGATGTTGCTCTCCGAGAGATCAACAGCCTAATCAAGTGGCAAACTGCGCGGAAACGATGGCACTCCGACAAGACACGGCAGAAGATGGCGTCAGGAGGTGCGGCGCAGGAGGATCCACTGGGAGGTCTGGGTTCGACTTTCAAACCCAGTGATTTTGGCCTAAATGCTCAAGACTTGGCAGATATGGACCTTGCGGATGAGGACGAAGACTACTCGGATTCTGATGAGCAAGATGAAGATGATCCTATAGAGGCGGAACGCAAACGAAGGCGGCGGCGCCAGGACGTTCTCAAACGCACGGCTGGTGAACCGCTGAAGCCTGAGGTTACTGAGCTACACAAGATGATGCCGCAATTTTTATCCATGCTGCGGATGGTGCTAGCAGAATAGAATTTCTAGACTTTTCAGGCCACGTCGGCCTGAGTACGGTATGCATATCCTAGTCATATTTCGAGCTCCTGATGATTTCTGGATGTCAGAGCTGCATAAATTCCTTCCTACTACGTTCCTGCGCTAGCATACTTCACTCAGTACCACCCATGCCCTTCTTCTCCGAGCTTTTTGTTCTTCGGGTTCAAGCTCAGTAGACGTTGACCTGGTATGTGGCCGTTGATTGCAGATTCGAAAACTCCACCCACAGCTCTTCTTCCAACATTCGAAAAGCTATTATATCCTCCTGCATCGCTCCCATTGATTGCTGCCCACTCGGGAGAATTATACGGACTACTTCCATCTCCCAAATCACTCCAGCGCGTGACCACAAGAGCATGTTTGAACGGGAACACTTTGTCACTGGGGTCTTCCAGCATCTGCACCTCAACCAGGTACTCGGTCGGACACTCAGGACATCGTCTTGCAGGTCGACACTCATCGCAACCACGCACGATGAAGTCTGGCCGAGCAGCTGAGCGATCGACTTTGAATCCCCGTTGAAGTTGTTTGTGGATTGGATCAGGAGGTGATGGTACATGAGACATCATGCATTTGCAGATTTTCGTCAAGTCGCCATCACGCCAGTGCGCGCAGACAGAGAAGAAAGGCGTATACTCTTCGCGGTCGTAGAGAATATGGCGCTCGGCCGTCTCGGTGAGTGATTTGGCCGGAGGAGAGAAGACTTGCGAGACGACGCGGACGAGCAAGCGTTGTTCGTGGATCATGTAGCGTGTTCGATGTGTCCAGCCACTATCTTTGCATTTCCAACGTCGAGCAAGGTTTTCATGGTTGATGCCGTAATTGGGGCCGTATTTTGCTGCGCGTGTTGCGAGTTGCACGAAGGAGTAAGGTAATTGACGACCGTGGGTCAGACGCATTCGTGGTAGGATTGATGACTTTACTGCAGGGCACATGAAGACCGGGTTCGCGACGTAGTCAATCTTGAGCATTTCTTTGCCTGGTTGGAGGCGTTTGTGGAATTTGCCACATGGGAAGCAGATTAGCTGGTCGGGGTATCTTTGATCCATGCTGTACAAGAAAGCGTGCTTGAAGTCTCTGTTTCCGGGACTATTCAAAGCTTGCAAGGTCATCGGGCCAAGTTTGTGGTATAAGGTCTTGCTTGACATGGCTAAGAGTACAGCTTCGATGGGAGTCAATTCCAGTGCGATTCGTTTCCACAGCTCATCTGGCAGAGAAGCTATGCGTTGCTCATGTTCGGGCGAAACGAGCATGCCTTGGCGTCTGCGTCGCCTGATATCGCGAGGATCTCTCTGCTCCTTGGATTGATCCAGTAACGAGTCGAAGGAGTCGTTGGTAGCTAGTCCATGCAGCATGTCTCCATGATCGCGTTCTTTCTCTGCACGGGGTCTCGTTCGAGTGCCGGCCATGGTGGCGGGCTGGTCGCTGAAGACTGCATATTCGCGCTCGCCGAGTTCATTGACATCGTCTGCGGGAGCAACAGTTGGGCCAGCGCCTCGTTTTCGAAGTTTCTTGCCTTCTTTCTTTCGGCGCTTCTCGACTGCGTCCTTGGTCTCACTGTAGCTCTCATCTTTTCTGAAGCTCCTTCCGAGCCGGGAGACCAGCCGAGACGAGAAGCTGTTCGGGTTCACTGGCCGCTGATAGTCCATATTCGCCAAGCACAATCACCGCTGGGCAGTCACGATCAAGGATCCGCACGGATCTGGCTTGTTGTTCGCATGGTGATGCTGATGGCACTTTTTGACTTTCTCATTTGCTTCGGCGTACGCGATGTCAGATGTCTCATCCCTTACTAAGAATGACGTGGCTTCATCTCCGAACAAGCCGGGCGTTGATGAGCATTGCCGTTGCTTCAACATGCAGTGTGTAGACTTTCGCGATTTCATGTACCACGCACTTGAATATTTGATCAGACACAGAATGAATTTGAGCCCAACTGCAAGGTCAAAAGAAAGTCCAACAACTCGCACTGTAGCGCAATCACCAGGGAGTGAGCCTTTTCGATCAACTTACAGCAAGTCAAATTGGGGTGTAAATGGTTACTTGAGTAGAAACCATCACCTAACATGATTCCGTGCAGAAAGCAGGATCGAGATATGACGTTGGAACTAGCAGCCAGATGTGCAGATACACCGAAGCAAAGCTAGCTCTCCAACCTCAGAATATCTGCTTCAGCACGTCCTCCGCAATCCTAAGTACAGGTTCCCCAATCTGAGAAATCATAGAGCTCCCGTGACGTTTATGCTTCGGGTTCTCGTGGCTTTTATGCTTCGCGTCCTCGCGACGTTCAGGCTTCGGCGGTTGGTGTGCCTAGCGAACACCACGTCGCCCTTCGTGCCGACTGTGTTCTCTGCCACTCCGGGACACGCTAGCCACAGTGCTGCCGTCTTCAACATCCACACTCGCGCTTCTCTTCACTTCCCTTACGTATGGGCCGTACCCATCGATGTTTCTGTTGTTCGGTGCACGCCTGAATTGTTCGCGCGATGGGCTCTCGCTCAGAACGCGGGCGGGCCCACTTGTGGCATCTGGTACTTCAGACCGACGGTGGACTCGAGATCGAAGGCGCTGGGACGCACTCATCTCCGCACCGCGAAGCTCGTCGATGTCACCTGGCACAGAAAAGCCTCGAAACTCCGAAGAACTTGCATCACTGTCTGGAGGGGTAGGTGAGAAGTCTGTGCATTGTCAGCAGATGAAACTCAATCAGTAATGAAAACGGTTGTACTGACCCAATTTCTTAGAGAAATGCACGCGACTTGACGCGTCACTAATGCGGCGCCGGATCTCTTCGACATGGTTCTTGTGAGCTGGTGCACTCGGAGATGCACCCGGGCCCTTTCTGTGATGAAGAACTTCTGTTGCTTCTCGGAAGTACTCTGCAGCTTTATCAGGGTGAGGAATTCGTCCAGACACCGGAGTGACTGTTCGTCGTCTGTACTCATATTCACGCTCGCCCCAGTCGTCTTTGTTGCCCGACCGCGAGCCTTGACTCGTAACGCTTGCTCGTGCTCTCTGGATTGGACGATCTGTTGGCGCATCGAGATGTTGCTCTGTAACATTCCCCATTGCGTGATACTGGTATTGTGCGCCGGTTTCATATTCTCCTCTACCATCTTGGTAACGCCAAGTATCCTCCCTCTGGTCTGCTGGCATCTTGTTGGCCGCAGTTCTTCTTGCTTCATCTCCAGGCCAACGCGTCTTTTCGGACAGTGCCACAGATGGGATGTGGGCCACTGTAGACTCCTCGGCCTTGACCTCGATTTCCTTGTCCCAAGTCGAGTTGCTTTGAGACTCCCGGTCACGGCCTCGACGTGATACCTCGACTGAAATAACCTCCTGTGGAGTTTCTCGGCCGAAAGGAGCGGCGTTTGAGTCTCTGCCGGAGCGTTTCTTCGATGACATCCAGTGCTCGTTGACTGCGTCATCCTTCTCTTGCACGATACGGCGCTCAACTGGGACGCGGACTACTTCGACCATTCGACCATGCGCGTAAGGGTCTGCGTGTGTCTCGATTCTGCGTTCCGCCTGGCGATATCGTACTACCTCTTCCCTAGCAAGCTTCCGAATCTCAGACTCGGAGAGCTGCGTAAGATGTGGATCTGGTCTGACTTCACGGGTCCACATCACGCGTTCCGAGCTGGTTGCACGATTCGAGGAATTTTGCTGAAAAGTCTTGGATGGCACATGGGCGTGTACGGGGCCCGAGTCGTAGCCATCGGCGGGCGGTGGAGGCGGAATCTCGATAGTCTCAAATGCAACTCGGGCAGAGCCTTTGGTCGAAACGTTCTGTGTCGAGGATGGTGGAGGTGGAGGTGGTGGCAGTGCAGGCACGTAATCAGGGGCTTTAGGAGCACGCTGCACGGTGGAGGATGCCGGGCCACGCAATTGTTTGTGGACGATGTTGTTCTTAGGTATTTCGATTGACGCAATGTGCCGCCCTCGGTTGCGTTCGGCAGCGTTCGTAGCTTCCCTCTCAGTGTAAATGACCTCGATTTCTTGCCAATCATCTGGAGTCAGCAGTCGTCTCGCGCGACGCTGACGGGCCTCCGTATTGGTGGTGTACTCTGCGTGTGGCACGAAGCTCGCAATACCAATCCTGATGTCGTTACTCCTACTTTCTTCGACAATCTCGACGATAGAGCCGCGCTCTTTCTTGGTGGGATTTTGACAACGTCGGCAAACGCCTGGTGGCGGTGCCATGCCGTTGATGGGAATCGGGTTCTCGCGATGGTAGCGCGCACTGCGTTGGCGCAAGCAGACGCGACAGATGTGGTAGACCGCAAGAGGAGGCACATCCTGGCCATCGGCGCCAGATGCTGCGGACCCAGGCATAGTTTCTTGTGGCAGTCGGAGGTTGCTGGAGGTGCTCCGATAATCAATGTTGCTGTGCTCTCGCCGACTGCATCAATCGCAGACTTGGTGCGCTGGAGCGCAGGCCGGCTAAGATGCTTGTCAAGACGTAGGTGTGCTCCGGCGATGGAATTTATCAATGAATGGCGGCCGGACCGGCAAGTTTGCCGCTCGAAGGGGGTGAACGAGCTGACAGTGTTGAAGATCAGAGGATGCGGAGTCGCATGCAAGCAAGTGTGGTTTGTGCAGGTGAAAGAAAGAAGGGGCGACTGTTGCCTCGAACTCACGAGGTCGTGGCGTCGCACAACAAAGTGAAGCTTTGCAGGCGCGAAGGCAAATTCGAGTGTTTCCCCACACGAGTGAACAAACTGCTGCATCTTGCCAGCCACCTGCATCTGTAACAGCGACATGTGCCCGCCAACGACGATAATCTTCGGCATAGTCGTCATTAGGCATGTGAGCACGCTTGGCTTAGCACTTGAAGAGAGCGCAGAAAGGGAAAGTCGGGTCAATGACTTCTTCCACTCAATCCGCTGTGGGCCCAATCACTTTTCTACTTGTTTCTTCATTCGCCAATGACATATGTGCAGCCCGCACTGCTCACGAATACTTCATGGCGCCTGTTTGCATCAACGTCCAGTCGACTACCGGGGCCGAAGGTTTCTTTGCGTGGATTCGCATCGTCTGGATAGGTGATGGTGAGTTCGCCCGCGAGGATCAGATGCGTAGTAAGGCCGGCATGTGAGTGCGGCGGATAGTGCGCATTGCTGCACGATGAATAGCACTCATTAGTGACGCGTCCGTCGGGAACGGCTTGTCTACTCACGCGCCATCGGTCTGCACACGGTCAGCATACTGCGAGTGGCGACAATGACGCACGACGCACCCAAGTGAAGACGTGCTGAAATCCCCAGTCGCGGACCTGCCGCTCTGCCTCGCCGCGGGAGAGATGCATGGCTACGTGAAATGTGAAGTGAAGTGAAGTGAAGTGAAAGTGTGGTGGCGGAGGAAAGCGTGAAGGTCAGCCCCACCGACTGGGCTCCACTTGGCGCGTGTCTGGGCATTTGCACATGGCAGGTGGCACGCGAGCGACTGGAGCTGCTGCCAACAACGCTAGCTGACCGCAACACACAAACCACTTGCTTGCAGCAAGCGTGGCATGATGGCCGTTCGCAGCTGAGGTGCCTTCGTTTGCTGCCTCGCTCCCGTCTCACCTCACCTCACGCTCCTGCACCAACACCAAACCAACTCCCGCACTGTTGTGAACGCGTCCACCTCCCTCTCTCCGCTGTCCTCTCCGCTGTCCTCTCCGCTGTCCTCTCCGCTGTCCTCTCCGCTGTCCTCCCAACATGGCTTCCACTGCTCCAGCCCCGGCTCCATTGTCGCCGGCGATCACCAAGCGAGCGGCGGCAATCTTCCAGCCGTCCTCGCAGCATGCCACCTTGGATGAATTTCTTGCCCACCTCACCACGCCTCAGTCTTCCGCTGCGTTGCCCATCGATGTCGATACTGCACATCCTCTTTCGCACTACTTCATCTCCAGCAGTCACAACACATGTAAGTCCTGTGCCAAGTAGTGCTCTCCCGAGCCTGTAGTCTGATATGTCTCAGACCTTTCCGGCAATCAATTGTGGTCCAAGAGCTCTGGGGATGCCTATCAGCAAGTATTGAAGCTGGACTGTCGGTGCATTGAGATTGATCTTTGGGATGGCGATTCTCCCTCCTCTTCGGAAGCAGAAGACAACGCCAAGAAACCTGACGACGTCAACAAACTGTCTGGACTGCTGAAGAAGAAGCTAAATAGACTCCGATCCCGCTCCGATCCAAAGGCAGACGACGATGATCAGCCCAAGCCCGACGATTTGATGCCCATGCCCTGGAGGACTGCATCTGGACGCTCAGAACCAGTCGTCTATCATGGCTACACGGCAACCAAGGAGGTGCCCTTTCGAAAGGTCAGGCTGGTGCATGGAAATGTCTCGCTGTCGCTGACAATGCACAGGTGTGTGAGGTCGTTCGTCAATACGCCTTCTATCGCACCACTCTACCTCTGATTGTTAGCTTGGAGGTCCACTGCAGTCCGCCACAGCAAGAAATCGTCTGCGAGCTCATGCAAGACTACTGGGGTGAATTTTTGGTAAAGCTACCAGACGGCTTCTCTGACTCAACGCCATTACCATCGTTGGAAAACCTGCGGAAGAAAATCCTCGTCAAGGTGAAGTTTGTCCCTCCAGAGAAGGCCAAGAACAAGGACGCCAACGAGGACGACTCCAGTGAGGACGAGGGCGACGCCACGAAGAAGAGCAAAATCATCGAAAAGTTGAGCACCATGGGTGTTTTCACGCGTGCCTTCCATTTTCAAAGCTTCGACCATCCGACCTCCAGCATTCCTACGCATGTCTTCTCCTTCGGCGAAAGCAAACTGCTCAAGGCCTGTGAAGAGCAACCAGAACAGCTTCTAAAACACAACCAGCACTATCTCATGCGCGCTTACCCTAAAGGTGAGATGACCAGCTCATGCCCACGATTATGACACTGATCGTTCATAGGGACACGATTAAGGTCAACAAACCTGGATCCTGCTCCTTTCTGGCGCTATGGAGTTCAGATGGTCGCTTTGAACTTTCAGAAGATCAACGCCGCAAACATGCTCAACTTTGCCCAGTTCGAGTCGACGGGTGGTTATGTCTTGAAACCACACGGCTATCTGCCAACAGGCAGTGGTGACGGAGTGCAAGCACGCCGCAGATCCCTCGATCTGAGCGTGAAATTGCACGCTGCACAAGCTCTAGGCACACCCAAGGATGTCCCGAAGGCGTACGTCAAGTGTGAACTGCACGTTGGAAGCAAAGACGAATTTGAGAAGAACAAAATCGCAAAAGGAGGGAAGAATAAGGGTGGTGAGTGGAAGCACAAAAGTAGCGTCGTTGAATCCCGGGATCCCGAGTTCGATGAGCTGTTGGACTTCCGAGGAGTGCACGGCATCGTGCCCGAGTTGTCTTTCTTCCGGTAAGTGCAAGTCCCCGTCTGCCAGGTCCCGCTGCGTCCGTCTACACCGCTCCTTTCCCCTGCGCTCCGATGTCTCGCCCATGCATTCGCTCTCCCGATACCAGGACTGCAGACTGTGCGCAACGCAACATTCTCATCGTCGGCAATCTTCTGCTCAGCAGTCCTTCGGGATCCGCGCTTCAGGTTGGCCTCATTGGATGTGTCAAGAGATCCTTTCGAACTCGACTTGAGAGAAGGGGCTGTTGTCCCGTGGGCCACTCAGCTGTGAGCCAAGAACATAGCATGTCACGAGCTTCCTACGGGGCGCAAGCCGACAGCGTGGAACATATTGATATGCGCCGGGTTCGTGTGAATCCCGAACAGACGGGAGGGGAACGCGGCATCTAGGTCCAGTGCACCGGTAACCAGCATGCGTGCAGCATCGGGAGCTGGGTTCCCCATGGCAGCCTCCTGGAACTTGATTCGTTTCGTTCAGGGACAAATTCGGAAGAAATAAAAACTGACATGTGGGCAGATTGAAGGTGATGGATGATGTTTCTTACCAAAAGGATGACCTGCTTGGCTGGGCGTGCTATCGATTGGGTAAGATCCTACAACACAATCTCTGTTTGACATCTTCCCTAACACTCATCAGACCGCTTGCCGAACGGCCCTATTCTGGTTCATCTACGCGGCGAGGATTATAAGCCCAACGGTGCGAGGCTGCTACTCTCCGTGACCTCGCAGTGGACCGAGTAATCGGCTCGCGCGACACTGTGCTCTTCTCAACATGCGCTTTGTGTTCCCAAGCTCCTGAATGCATGGTGCACGAGGTGTGCCGCAACATTACGGTTGCCGGGAATTGCCAACGCATGGCCATCTGATCAATGTTGCAGTACCCTCGCACTGCAGTTCCAACTGCCGGGTTTGCATTCGGCGCCTGCTCCTGCTAATGATGCACAATGAGCTGTGTAGGTCCATCCAGCTGCGGGTCGCGAGATGCAGTGGAGACCGCTTCTCAGTACTCACCGGGCCATTGTTCGGTTGCTGATATCGCACGTCGAGTGGCTTTGAGCATCCGTTGATCGGGCCACGCGTTGCTGAGATGAGCAAAGCGATACTATACAGCAATGCGACAGAGAGCGACAGCGGAAAAATACACGGAAGCAATGCAAAGTCGCACATCCTATACCTGTAAGCTCGTTGTACAGCTCCGACGTCGCTACGCACTGCACAGTCGTGACTCCGGCTCGTGAAACAAAGCTTCGGCAGTTAATATTTTGATTTTATGGAATCTGAACAATATTCTGATTCGAGCTGGGATGAAGTCGCCATCTGACTCTTGTGTTTCTCTTTGCAGACAGAATTGCCGGGGTTTGACAGGGATGTGGCGCAGACCCTCGTTGTGCGCATGAAGAATGCACACATCACAAAATCTTTCCGCAGTTCGACCCAGAGCCATCAGCGAGCCGTCCATCATCGTGCAACGCTCAACGTGTGCACTTCGGGGCTGCCGGGCGCCTCGCAGTCGTCTGCACTGGCGCTCATCGGTGGCCCATCAACCGTACTCTGTGAGCAGCATTTTGCAACCTATCTTCCCGACGGATCCCGACTTTCAAGATCCCTGCAATTCAAGATATCGAATCAATGCCATAATGCTTGGCTGATGAGCGACTCTGCCTCATGCTGAACCCGGTCATCGGACCGGTAGCCAGCAAGAGAAGCCGCATCTTAGCACGGCAGTCTTCTGCTTGCGACAAATAACATTCTGTTCCGCACGGCGGCATTGACGTGTCGTCCATGGCAGGCCTTGTTTCACCGATCACAACTGCCTGGTCACCGGATGCTGCCATTGGCAGGAAGCAACGCAAGATATGGGTTCCCGGTACGAAGGTTTCTGCCCTTTGCCATGCTTTTACTTGGCTTCAGTATTCACTCCATTATCACGAATGGAGTGGAGAAGTCTCAGATCTGGAGGCAGTAGTTCGTGATCGGACACAGACACACGGACTTAACGTGCAATAGATCACTCGGCTTCTGGAAATTCTCTCGTGCATCGTGCAACTCATGTCGCACATTCATTGACAAGTATGGAGATCAGAAGCAAGCTCCCTAGGTTTCGCGGCTTCCATGTCCGAGCTAGCACTTTCCGGGGGTTCACCGCATAATATGGCCTGCCCGCTGAACCTGCTCTTTCGTACGGACAACTGGGCACAGGTCACAACATGAGCATGAGTGAGTATCTCACTTGGAGTATGCTGCTGGGTTAGTGTCACCTCGCAAAACCAGGTAGGCTTGTACCTGGTTCTCATATCGGATGCAGTCTTTGCAGAACTGCTGGACAAAGGTTATAAGTCAAGCCGCCTTTGCTCCTTCCTGGATTCCTTCTCGTCTCTGCAGGGCAAAGATTTAATACTCATTCCATCTTCCATTGGAAGAACGTCTCCGACTCATCACCCAATCGCCTTGTCTCATCACTCTGCCTCATCGCTCGGCCTACTGCAAGTCTTCCCTTTCTGGCAATTCGATCGACATATCACGACAAAAAGTCCATCCCGCAGATACGCACCTCAAGCCATTGGCGAACAAGTCTCGTTCACGACATTCGAAAATCACATCACACACATCATGACCTACACGGCCAAACGCTACGAGACGCTTAAGCGTCTGGGAATCGAGCAACTCCCACCTCTCCACGCCTGCTCAACGAACGAGAGCGATACGAGCGACAACACTTTCGCCATCATCAACCCTCTCACATCGACAATGCCCATTCGTGAACGCCCGGTAAGCAAGAGTGTCATTTCCCGACAGTCTCATCAGTCAGATAAATTGATCAAATGACGGGAAGTGCTGACGACAGATTTTCCGCACGAACAGGTTCCAGGCCGCAGATGTCCCACCTGTGCGGCTCGTGGGGCAACGGTGTGGGTCATCCCCGGCAAGCGCTGTCCATCATGCGGCACTGAGGTCTGATCGATCAAAAGGGAGAGATAGCGCGAGGGGACTTTGTGGTTCTTTCGCGCATCTCGAGGGAATTGTCTTTGGGGAGCCATCGCATGTACCATATGTGTGCATGCAATTACGCACGCGTGCACGATGGACATATTCGGGCTGGCGTGATGGCGCATTGGTTATCTGTATCTTTTGAAACGAGCGGGGAGTTAGGGAAACTTGCGGTCTGAAGCAGATGGAAATTTCTTGTTACTGGCAAGGCATTGGACATACACGTGCACATGCTGCTCTGCGGGAGTTGGATGGCAGGAGCAACAGAGGCGTGATGGCATTGCTCAATTCTGTTCTCTTCATCATCAGCGTTCTTAGCGTAGCGAGCGCAAAAAGTTTTCTTGTATGATATCGATAGGTCAAACAAGCCGGGGCGATGCATGAGACTTGGGATAATTAATCAACTTGGATCACTGGTCTGAACAGCAAACTCAAATTTGTCTTTGCCTGCCTTCTTCTTCGTTGGAAAAGTCAAAAAGCATGGCTTGGAAAGAGAGATGCGAGAGTTTAGTTCCCCGGCAGGGATGTCATGCATGAATGATGATGGGGCATGGACAAGGATGTGCTTGGATCCATTTGAGTTTGATGTCACGCGTAGATCGTCCGTCTCGGCGTGCCGTTGCTGGTGCGGCGGGCTGACTTTCCATTGATGAGATGAGCTTCTGTGCTTCGCCGAGTTGAGAACTTTTTGAGATACATAGCATGCATTGCGACGATTGTATCTGCCGAATCTTTCAGAAAGCGACTAACGTAGGTTTTGCCCCCAATGTAATTTATTCTCGAACCATCGCCTGATCGCGCATATTTGTCTGCTCATATTGAGCTAGACGTTCTGTGCATCTGAGGCTATGCTCAGTGGTATTATGCTTGACGCACTCTTCTCTCTCATACCACCTGCGATTGCGATGAACGAAGAAAGAGCTCACAATATGTGCGATTTCGAATCCGCATGCCCGTTGACTGCGACGGAGTATCAGTAGGCACTTCCGACTCTGCATCAACAATGGCTATCATGTCGGAACCCAAATGAGCCTCAACCACACAGGAAGATATCCTCAGCAACTTGCCATCCGTAGGCATGCTTCAGACGTCTGCCGAAAGTTCGGACCATGGCTTTGGGGATTTTGGCACCCTTGCGAACTTCCTTCGGCTGATGGAAAGAGATGGATCTCTGCAGATCCAGCTTGCCGGAAGTTTGAACGCCGGCATCTGTCTCCACGACTTCGCCTTTCGGTACGGGGTTGAACGTCCAGGCGCTCCCATACAACTTGACGGGCTGCAGACCGATGGCGTTGAATGCGAACAACAAGTCGTCCCAAGGTACTTCGAAACGTTGTTGCGCAGCAGCGGACGGCGATGGCAGCAGTGCCGTGAAGACCTTGAATGCCCTCTTAGGGATCGTGACCTTCTCCGGCGGTGCTCCAGCTCGTGCCACCTCACGCAGATCATCGTCGGCTAAGATCCGACGAGGATCGGGCGCGGCGGGTGTGCCATGAGTTTTGACTTTGCTCTTGACAGGGGTTCGCACGAATTCCTTCTTCGGTATTGGCAAGTCGAGATAGTTCGGGTGATGAACGTTGCCGTCCAGCTCAGCGAGAACCCCCTTTTGATCGTCGCTGTGGACGGCGTGTGACGGCGAGGTCAAGAGCGTTTCTGAGAGCTCACTCCAAGGCTGCGTCCTGTGAATTTCTCGGGTGGTTCTTGCTCTATTTTTCAGAACTTTGGTCAGGCTGATGCCTGCTGAGCGTGTTACAACCGCTTCAAATGACTTCCAGAAGATATCGAGTTTCCTCTCTGCTCGCACCATTTGGTCGACAGTGGCCTTGGTAGGCCGCTTCTCTGCCACTGCTGGGTAGTCGGTCATATCCCGATCGTTCGGCTCGAACTTCGAGATGGTGTTGTGGCTCGTGGCTGCACTGATGCCATAGTGCATCTTGTTCACCAGAACCCGCGTCTTATCCACGGTCTTTGCCACGTCGTTGCGGCATGCCAACAACGTAGCCTTGTTCTCGTCGAACCAAGGAGCAAGTGCATCGATGCACTTGATTTCGGAGACCAGTGCCAGATCTGCGAACTGAGATGCAATCCATGGATCTATGAGACTTGCTGCTTCGGTGTCGGTCTCAAACATCTAGCTTCGGAGTCAGTAAGCTCTGGAGTCAGTGGTCTCGTGATAAGACTTACGTATTGAATTTCTTGAACAAGGCCGTGAAGACCGTGCAGCTCGCGCTGGTGTTGGTTGTGGATCGAGAAAAACAACGTATCGAGCCGTCTCTCGCAGCTAGTTGCCTTCAACTGCAGGATCCATCGGCCGCTCGCAGGCGAGGCAGAATCCTCAAGTTCGAACCTATACCTGTTCCTGAGCCGTGGACTAGTTTGCAGTCCTCCGTGCAGCATGGAGATCGGTATCATCATGAGTCGTGTGAGTACCTCATGCATAGCGGCCCATTTCTCTTCGTCTTGTTTTGCCAAGCGGACAGTCTTGTCGTTTGCCCGAGCCAGCTGGACGTCAATTGAGGCCATCGAGCTCAGCCGTTTGGCGATATCATCCCAAAAGACGAAGACAAGATACGCGTTGGTCAACATCTTGTTGAGGGCGGTCTGCCAGTCGCTACGACAGCCAAATTCAGTCTCCCCGTCATGCTCACGATATTCTCGTAGAGTTGCCGCGAAATATCCCGGATCCTCTTTGAGAAGCCAAATATGATCCTCCGATGTTTCGCAGCGACTGTCGACCAGCATCTTCAGTCGCTTGAGATCAAGCATTTGGGGAACACGATACGGGGCTTCCAGGGAGTGAGCACTCATCGACGGGTACTCATCCGGCCCGGGCGACCCTGGCATCTTCGTTGGCTCCGGAATTGAAGGCGCCAAGAAGAACATCGTTGGGCGTATGTCGTGCAAAATCAACTTGACACATTCGAGCAGAAATTCGTACGTGCGTTGAAGGAGTTCGAGCGAGAGGAGGCCTTCGTTTGAGCGTCGCAAAAACCTGTATAATCACATTGCTCAGTATTGGTACTATGCACATGAGCGGAAAGACTGACTTGTACTGGGAGGTCTTCAGCGATATCGCGTGATGCTTGATAAGCTTGCCGTAACGCTGTGGAGAGTGCCTGTCCTCGAACAGCATACCGGCATCGTCTTCGTCATGGTCTTCGAGATAGTGCTCTGAGCAACAATAGTCCTCAAAAACGTCGGCGAAGTCAAACCCTCGATCCCAGCCGCTACCAAGATGTCTGTAAGGCCGTCAGTGTCAGGCACGCTGAGCAGAATACCAAACCAAAACCACATACGCTGCGTTGACGTCCGCCAGTCGAAAAGTGTCGGGCAAGTTGCGACCACGGGATTTGATGAAGAGAAGCAGGAGATTGCGTTTCAGGAGATCCTCAAGGTTGATGTATGGCCACAAGTACGCCTCTGGAAGGCATGGGACCCGCTTCTTGTTGGAGCGCAAGTTCTTGAAATCGGGACGATGCCCGGCGGACATGTTGGGCCAGGCGCCAAGAAGAATTTGCCGGCGCTGGGTCACGCTCTTTTTGCTGTGCAGAGGTCAGCCGTGTCCACGGAGTTGATGGCTCTGGGGCGACACGCACATCCATCGCTTCTGGATCGTGCCCTCGTATCGCTTCACAATCGCGTTCAATTTCGTCCAGTCTTTGAAGATGGACGCGGAGAAGCGTTTCGTGGCGCGCTCGATGTCCTCATCGCTGAGACTCGCGGGGATGGGTAAGTCTGGGAGCCGTCAGTTTGAAGCACTGGGAGGGCAGCGGTGACGAGCGACGCACCAGTGCCTTTGTTGAAGCGGCAGCACTTGCATGGCACCCACTCGTTGCCATCGATTTCTTCGAAGGTGACGGAGACGTATTCCGCCATCGTTCCACGCGTGGCGAGCAGTCTGAGCTGCTTCCGATGTGGGTGAACTGAAGCAGAGAGCACGCGAATAATGTTTGCGGGAGAGGCTCGTCGTTGGTGGGGCGTGCCTGCCTCTGCAGTGCAGGCTTCCGCTCCCGCACGAGACGCCGCCGCGTCGTGTCGTACACGCGTTTGCTCCCCGCGCTGCCCGTGAGATACTGTATGGCCGTCAGCAGTTCTCCGCCCCATGTGCTTCACGAACGTGTCCTGCGAATGGCCACCGCCTAGAATCTTGCTTTGGTCGCGGCAAAGATGTGCTAAAATTGTGTCATTGCTCGTTATATGGAGTCAACCATTCAACGCCGTCCGGTCGCCCTTATCTCGCTACTGCAATGAGCGGCGACGTGGTGCTAGTTCTCGTAGGTCTCCATACTTCCGCGAGGATCCATGATAGTATCGTCTCATCATGCAAACCGAACGCCTAGGTGTGCCTATGTGCCACGGTTCTTCTCAGAAAATGCCAAATTCCCATCCTCCACCCATGCCTCGTCCAAACCATCCCCGGGCTTATCGCCTCGAATTCCGGTAGTAGTCCATGTAGTAGTCCTCCAGAAGACGTTCCTAACGTCGTCCGCCACCACTGCCACCACCACTGCCCATCTTACGGATTTGCGCCAAAACAATGGGAGTCAGGATTGGCGCAATCGTCGTCCAGTGCTCTTTTCCTTTCTCCACCCATGGTCCAATGTCGTACTTGCCAATCTTGATACTGGGCGGTGGCTTGTCCCGGCCATCACGACCGCCTCGCCTGTCTCGTGATCTGTCGCTGTACCTGTCGTAGTCGTCGTAATCGTCTCGCCTCCTCCTGCTGCCGTCACGGCGCCGTGCCGGTGCACGGTCATTGTAATCGTCGTCGCGGCGTCTGCGAGGGGGCCGGTCTGAATGATATGGGTCGTCGTCATAGTCGCGCGGAGGACGTCCACCGTATCCATCGGCACTTCGTCCCCGGCGACGACGTGGGCGGTAGTCGTCTTCGTCCGAATAATCATCGTATTCACGACGTGGCCGAGGACGTCGCTCACTCTTTTGACGAGATGGAATAGGGTCGGCTCCGTATTCTACGGGAGGTGGCCGATCGCCTCGCCTGCGTGGAGGGTAGTCGTCGTCGTAGGGTGGACGCTCATCGCGATCTCGTCTTCGCCGCGGCGGACCTTCATCGTAGCCGCCGCGCGTGGTGCCTGAGATAGCGCTGTCGGGCGGAGGGTAGTCGTTTCTCTTGGAACGCCGTGGGCGGTCATCATATGCCGAATCGTCGTTGGAGCGCGGCATCTTGTTGCGTGGAGTGTACTTGGAGCTCTTGTGATGCTCGCCCTCGTCGGACTCGTAGCCGTCGCGCAGATCGCGAAACTGCTTGTCGCGGGGTCGGTTCTTAGCCTCGAGATCGGGAGCGCGACCGCCCAGATAAGAAGCCTCGTCGGGGAACTGAGGGCGTTCGTCGGGGTTCAGTCGACTGCGCGAGCCTTCTCTCTTGAGAGCAGGTTTGAGGGTGGCGCCAAGTGGAGGCAAAGGGATGTGTGCGGGTGGATCTGCGTCGAGGGGCGCAGCTCGGCGACCACGAACGTCGTCTGTGGGTTGTGGATCGCCGCGGTAGTCGGGATATGGTGCGGCAGACATGCTGGTAGTGCTATTGCTACTACTGCTGCTGCTGGAAGTGCTGCTGCTGCTGCTGTCGCGCAGGAGAAGGGCGGTGGCGGCGGAGGTGGAGCGAGGGAAGTTCATAGGCCATCAGCTGATGGGCGCATGTGCGGTGAGGTGAGCCGTTTCGAGCGTGCCTGGTTTGTGCTGCACGATGATGTGCCTCCGCCAGCGGCAACCCAGCCACCTCGAACTGTATTGTGGCGTGCACACGAGGATGGCCTTGGAACAGATTTGCCAGGAGATCCTCGACTCCCTGCACGGTCCTCTGCGTGACCAGCTGAACATGTTTTATGCAACATCACAAGACGAAGAGTTTCGAAAACAGCAACACGGTCCCGCAGGCATGATGGCAGACACTCAAGAATCCCAACGAGCATGTATCGCAAAACTACTGAGCTTCAGGACAAGCAGTGGGTCAAGGCGTACGGAGACCACAACACCGCCGATGTATTACTGGCTGCCACCTACGCCTCTCGCAGCAAAAAGGCTACCGTCGCTAACAACACCGGCCTGCACGAATTCTGAAAGAAGGCGCCCTTGACGCAGATAGCTTAGCAATGCTTTGGGCTACAGGAAGGCCGGAATATGATCGTCGACAATGTCCCTATCAAGTGCAAGGTAGGCGATGTTGGACACTCCTCCAAGAATGGTCAACTTCTAGGTCGGCCAGAGTTGGTCGACGTACAAGAGGAACTGCGCGACTTTCTCCGTGATGCGATTGAGATCTCAAACGCTTCTCTGGTGTTCTTCACGGGACCATTAGCGCACGAAAGCTACAAGAAGAACACGAAACGTACCCGCAATCACCGATTGTATCTGTCGGAGGCGGATGCTCAAATTGGCACTGGACCGTATGTCGAATTACACTTCGATGGAGACGGGATTCACGGTTTGCTCACATCGTCGCCTCATATGTTCAACGCTGTGGAGGGCGGCATGCCAATCGCGGCGGCACTCCAGAACGGGCTATGTCGAGACTTTATGTACAGCCTCCTAGAACGAAAGAAGCCGGATCTCAGCTTTATCGATCTGACAATGGCTAAGCTAATGGGAGTGGAAGGCCCTGTGCAGATCCAGAAGCACTTCGGAGTTCATCTCATACTAGAGACGGCCGCTGGACAATCCGTTCAATCACAATTGACCAAGAACGCCGCTGTACATTCGGCAGTCGAGCCAGTCAAGCCATTTGTTTGCCAAGAATGTGGCAAGTCTTTCGCTCGTCGAGACGGTCTGACCGCGCACGCCATCGTACATTCGAGTGTCAAGCCATTCGTTTGCCCAAAATGTGGCAAGTCTTTCACTCGTCAAAACAATCTGTCCCAGCACGCTATTGTACACTCGGGTGTCAAACGATTCGTCTGCGATGTGTACGGATGTGGCAAGTCTTTCGTTCATCGAAAAGATTTGACCCGGCACGTCAAGAAGGAGCATGCTAACCTGGAGCCTTTCGAAAAACGAGACACGAGGTGTAAGCAGCAAGTTACAGAAGGAAGGCGAGTCAGCCCTAGGGGACTGAGCTGGCTCCGCGAGGGACAGGGATATGAAGGCTCAAAAAGCAGAAAGGGATATCAAGACTACTTGGGCGGCGAATATGGAAGGTTTCGGAAGCGATGTTACCAGGTTCAGAGAACGAACAGTAGAAAGAGGCAAAAGATGGAAGATGGAAGATACCCAGAACACGCGAAGTGAGACGACAAGTGGAAAACGTCGGGCTCGCAGAGTCTGACAACCTTGTACACAGTGGCAGCTCTATCGCTTCAGTTGACGCTCCCTCCAACACTCTTTGCACGATAAAAACAGCATCCCGGAATTGATTCTTATCGCGTGCCTTCACACCACACGCACCGCTCCATTTCGCAAAGACACTGTTGGCGCATGCCTTGTTCACCTGGCGTGTCGAGCCACGCACATCTCACCACGCACGTCTCGTCATCCGCCAGCGCTGCTGACTCCTCCCGCACGAGCACGCGAGCTGAGAAGAAAAACACTGCCCGACGCACAGCTCATCATCTGATGCATGGATTGCCCGGGCTCACGGGGTCATGGCTGTTTCTGATGCATCGCCCATCACACTTCCGTGCCCGCCGCGACCGCAACAGACCTGGCTCCGCCCTCTCTCCCGCCCGTGTGAGATCGAGATGCGCACGAGCCCGAGAATCGGCGCCGGCTGCTCGGCCGGCGACGACCATGGCGACCTGTGCTCAACGGCCCGAGCTGCCTGCAGCGGTCATTTGAAGCCTCAGGCAGCATTATTGGCAACGACTGCCCGTCAACGACTTCCTTTCCCTATGCAATACGCAATCGCACCAAATGCCCTACTTCGAACTGTACAAGTCCGATGACCTTGAAGCGCCCATGTCACTTCCCCAGATTGTAACAATGGACTACGAAGCTGTGTTGGAGCTGGGCTCTGCTTTGTCCAGTGCTCAACACACCGGAAACGGTAGGCAGAGTGCATCGATCAATCACGATTTCTTTATTCTCGCAAACTATACCTGATGCTCAGCTGCAAGCTCAACCCAAACGTCCACAGTACAGTCACAGCTTGCTTCGTGTGCAGCAAAATGGTTCAATACCGCCTTGCATCGCCAGACTCGTCGTCGCAGACTTCGGAGGAATCCACACAAGAAATTGGCATTTACCATATTACCGAGCATGGTTCCACTTATGGTATACCGGAAAAACTGGTAGCATCGTCAACATCTGCCATAGACAGTAATGGGGTAGATTGGACGCTCTCCTTTCCCATCACTCCTCACCGTCCCGTTGGTACTGAACTACGATCTCATCTGGTGCAGACGCCTTTGCCAAAGCCTCCGCCGCCCGGCAGCTGGCCACAGACAAAACAGGTATCCGCTCCTCCAACCTCGCCCAGCGGCTCTCTCATTCTCAATCGTCCAACACCAAGGCCTCCCGGAGCTTTCCCACCAACTACTCCATATGCGAACAGGATTGCTCCAGCACAAGATAGCCCAAATGTAACAGAAACTCTTGTTCCAGGGAGTGTACTACCATCGCAATCTACATGGCTCGCAAAGCGAAGACAGTACAAGCCGAATGGAAAATCGTACAAATCGACAGGATCAAAAGTCGTCATGGCCCCTGTGGGTGTGCCTACTGGTCCTCAAAAACACGGCATCGAGCGTAGTTGGGTAACATGGTACCACGATGGCTCCACTCGCAATTTCATTCCAGCAGTCGCTACTGAAATTGTTGGAAAAGCCGAGGACGTGGACTGGGACGGTATCATGTACCTCTTGCAAACAACGAATCATGCTCATATCATTAGGCTGCTCGATGGCAGTCACCTGCCCAAACGAGATCCATTGGCTGGACAATTTGTGCGCTACCCGCCCGGCCCGGAAGGAAATTTTGTCGAAAAGTCGGCCACAGATTTGGGGAATCTGGCGGGATGGGACGAGAAACAGTGGAAGGAGCAACGACGTCGGTGGCGGGACGGGCGCTTCTCCACCGATCTTAAAGTGTTGCCCGGTTTCTTCCCACATCCATTCCTAGTCTGGGAGCGCATGGACGGCAGGCAGCTTGGCGTTACACTGACAAAGCGCCCGAATGGTGTCGAGGAAGAGTTTGTGTGGTACTTTCTCGTCTCCCTCTTGGATGCGGTGCGCTGGCTTCATCATGGCCTCCCCGAGCGATTACGGCCTGAGGACGACTGGAGACCGGTGGTCCACAACAATATCAATCCCGATACTATCTGGTTGAATCGCCCTTGGAAGAGGGAGCTTCGCTACGGCACTCTCAAACTCGGCGATTTCTCACGTGCGGTCGTACTCGATCCCATTTCTACCAACTCACTCAATTCCAGTGTGCGCGACGAGAGATTCCAATCCGTTTCGCACAAGAAGCACCCTCAACAGGAAGACTTTGAGGCTCCAGAGCTGTCATGGCTACTTGACACTGACCCTAAAAAAGATGCAGGCAATTTTGGGGGACAGAGCTCTACGAGCTGCCACCCGGTTGGTGGAAAAAGTGACATTTGGAGTATAGGTGCTGTCGCAGTGGCTCTCATGGGCGGCATATGGATCGACCCCGGCGATTCAACACTGCTGCGATGGTCAAGCATAACAAGGGAACGAGCATTTGTGCTCCAAACACTCCAGCTCTATAAGCTGGGCGGGAAGAGATGGGATATTACACTCTTGCCACAGAACTATTCACGAACTCTGAGAGCAGTGCTCGAGAGAATGCTGACCCTAGACCCAAAACGCAGAACAGATGCGATAGAAGCATTGGCCTTAGCAAGAAAGGGATACGAGAAGTGGGCGACAGAGCGTGTGCCTTCACAATATGAGGATAACACTGAAGATGGTATCGAGAGCGACAACGGAGCGGGTAATGACGCAGATGATGAGAATGCTGGCAGCCCTCTGCGTCGGCCTCCGGTGGATCATTTCAAAGTAACGCAGGCGATTAAGCGCCCTTCTTCCGGTTTCAGAAGAGCTGGAGTAGAGGATTTCGACGATGACGAAGACTCGAGCGAAAACAGTAGACCCGCTAAGAAGAGGAAGCCTAGCGAGCCGCAAACGCCATCTGAACAACGACCGAATGCACTAGCACAGAGTCCGCCCCTGCAGCGAAACGGCATTACCAGCCCATCTCATGCAGCTACCTCTTCTGCAGGTCAGGGAAACGGTTCTCGGAATGGTCCAAGAACCTTGTTGAAGCCTTCTCGTCGCGCTGCCACTCCGCACCCGGGTCAGAAGAAGAGCGTGTCGTTTAATCCAAGACCACAGTACGGACCACAGGCCCTGCAGCGAGAGTCGACTTTGTCGCCCGGGCCCAGCCCCATTTCGGACACACCCGACACTATTTTGCAATCAAGTAATGTACGAAAACCGGCTCAGAAAGGCTCGGGCCTAGTATCTCGGCCAACGTACGACCGGACGCATAATTCTTTTGGCGTCACGAAACGCAAAAGTTCTGCTCTCGCTCCGAGAACGGTAGGAGTTTCAGAGCACAGCGGCTCCAATGGGTTGTCTCCAAGGAATGTCACGTCCAAGCCGCTTCGGAAAGAGCAGGTCACCGCACCTCGAGGTCTCCCAAAGAATCAAACGTGGAAGGCAACAGACCAAATCGAATTTGCAGCACCCTGGAGTGCCCAAGGTCCCACACTTCGTCCGAGACGCCCGTCTTCTTCTCTGCGCCAAGCTCAGCTTGACGCTGAAAGCGTTGACAGCTCCGCCATCGAAGAGCTGCCCAAGAGCTGGTGTGTGGTATTGTGAGAGGAAATTGCCGTTTCTACGCATGAAAAAGCGGCGCATCGGATCAATACTATCGCAAGAGCTGCACTTCGCCATTGTCGTATTTTCAAATATGTAATCAGTATAACATTTCATTTCTCACAGATGACTGTCTCTGCCAGTGCTGGAATTGACCTCAAGATCTCTCAACTCTCTCTTAGGCGCCGTACTCTCATGTGCTCCCTTCCACTTCACATTAGGATCCTTCCACGCCCAAGCACGATCCCTCTCCTCTCCATTACCCTTCCCACTCAGCACATTCGCCATATACTTGCCGATGATCGGCAAAAACTTATAACTATGAAACGACCCTCCTGTAGCAAAGTAGAGATTCTTCAATCGAGCATCGGGATGTTGGCAAAGCAGCCAATCTTGAGTAGGGGTATAGGCGTCCCAGCATAATCGCCAATAATCTGGTTCTTTCTGCGAGAACATTGGCATGACTTTGGTACTCATCTCCCTGATGGCTTCGCGTTTCAGGTTCTCTGGAACGATATGCTGGTCGCGTTCGGGTGGGACGGAGATTCTGTGACCAGAAGGTGTTTGGATGGTATTTTTGAATGTGTTGGAGTCTGTGTACTTGAGTAGACAGTTCTCTTTTGGGGGTGGAATGACTTCTCCGTTCTCACCGTATACCACAACGGGCATCTTGCTGAGTTGATTCATCTCCGATGGAGACATTTTGTAGTGAACCACTCCCACCCCTGCGGCACTGACTTGTCGTTCTACTCGCTGAGCTTCTGTGATATTAAGCTGGTCTTCGATTGGAGACATCAAGCTGCTAGTCCATGCACCGGTGGAGAGCACGATGGTGTCCGCAGTGAGGATGCGACCATCTTTTGTATGGACACCTTTCACACTGCAGTCGTCGTTTAAGATAATGTGGTCCACTGTGCCAATACCATACTTCACGCCTTTCGAAATAGCCGCATTCATAATGCTCGCCGTCGCGGCAGAAGCATCACACCATCCTGCTTCAGGATTCCAATACGCCTTAGTGAATCCTCGCAAATCCGTGCCTTTCAGAATACCATTCCAGTGATCGTTGAGCTTTTCCAAGGCAATATCTTCAGTGGGATCATGCCCTCTTTCACGGAATACACTTCGGATTCGGTCTGCCAAATCGCTTCCTTCCCGATCCAGCATGATCCAGCCTGTTTTATGATAGTAGTGCCGCAACTCTGGCCATTCTGCCCAAGCCTTCATGGCCTCGTAGGCGAGATTTGCGTAGAAAGCGCTGCTGTAATCGGCACGAATAATCTTGTTGATATCGGTGCTTGCTGCCGGGTCTGGCGATGGCGGGGTCTGATCGATGACAGTGATATTGGAAGCATCTTTGTATTGGGAAGCTAGGTGATATGCTGTCGAAGCACCGAATACGCCAGTTCCAACGATGAGAATCGTCTTTTCTTCTTGTAAGACAGCCATAGCGGATGCAAGTGAGTATCGAAACTGTATAATAATTTAGTAATAGGCAGAAGCTCTAGCTTGTAGTATCTCAGAAAGCTTCACCAGGAAGCCGCGACTCCTGCAGCTACCTTGATTTTGGCATGGAAACAAGCCGGCCAACTCAAAACAAATACGCAAAGTCTTGGATTCGCGATATGAACAGCCTGCAGGTTCACAGTACAGGTGGAGAAGTGTATAGCGCGGAGCGGGCCGAAAGCCACGTGCACGAAAAATTACTTCACATACTTCATCTCCTGCACTTCAAACTCGATTTTTAGCACCTTACGAGGTCCAAAAACGATCGCAATTAGAGCCATTTGAAGCAAAAAGAAAGCTCTCCATCAGGGAATCGAACCCTGGTCTCCCGCGCTTGTGGCAGGCGTCCTAAGATGCCTTTTTGCTGACAAGCGGAAATCATGACCACTAGACCAATGAAGAGAATATTGAGCTATTTCTATGCAATCTTTGGATTCTACTGCACTATATACCTCATTCGTTGGCCTGGGGTAGCAGCCACGCAAGAGAGCTGCTTCCATAGGCTCAGGGTGACTTGGAAATCTTCGTGCTATGGTACAGAAGTGTTTCGTGCAGATGAACGAGTGCACAAACAATTTCGAGGCACTAAAAGTAGTCTGATTGCTATGAGAAGGCCACGAGAAAGGGCGGCCTGAGATCCTCGTCAGTCGCTGTCAGAGGATTGATTCAGTTTTGGTACGGCACTGCTACCGATGGCTCAAGAGAGTGATTTGCAGTAAATTCCTTTACGGAGACAGTACATTGTGATGGCAATTCGTGTATTCGATTTCCGTTGTTGTCTGCGCTTACCCACGACCAGCTGATGTGACGCTGGATTGTCATGTCGCGTTGCGCTGAAATCGCAGATATTTAGGAATTCGAGGATGTTGTTGCCTTTGTAACATTTGCTGCCGAAGCGCCTGCCATAGCACTCCAGGCGCGCATCAAAGTGTGCATTGCACTGAATCTGCTTCGACCTCAGCTGTCACTTCAGCCCGCGTACTTGAATCGCGATGCCATGAAAATTCTCCTCACAAGTACGACACTGTACTCCAGGCTGAGGGATGATGACTCTACAGACCTTGCTGTGAGCCATACTACAAGCAATCCCAAGAGTGGTCCATGTCATTGTTCCTCACACCCACACAGGGCTCAACCACCCACGCCATATCCGCCGGCTGACCATCGATAGGTCGTAATAATCTGCTGCTGTAGATCCAAATCCACTTGCGAAACCTCTTTTGACCCCTTGGCCACAGCCAAACTCATCAGCAGCAACCGCCGCATTTTGCGCTATAGGACACGAACTGCATGCCAGAAGAAGAAATATTTGCCATTTGCGGGGAAGAACAATAAGAAAAGTTCGAAATCCATTGACAAGATTCACATACCTGGTGTTCGATCCGAGAAGTTGACACACTCGACTCTAGTGCTCGAACAAAGATTTCTCCCGCGTGTACCAGTTCCGCTGGAGAAGAGCGACTGAAGCTTGCGAGCATGACGTGAACAATGCTGGCGCTGAGGAAGAGAAAGATGTCGCAGAATAAATGGTTCATATTGAGATCGGGGTCGATAGTCAATACCTCTTGGAGCGATTGGGATATGGCGTGAATGTTTTTGAGATGAGCAGACTGCGTATTGGCCCGGGCAGGGGCGTTTAAACGTCCCACTGTACAGCCCTGGAGCGCAAGAGCCATGTCCCAGGACATTCCGTCGAGGACGAGTGGAACGCGGCACAGGAATTTGCGATATGCCGTCCAAGGCTGTTTGCGCTCTGTTTGATGAGAGCTTTGGTTGTTGATAGAATGGTCGAAAGCTTCTGAGAATTTTGCGAGTGCTTGACGTTTAGGGTGAGCACAACGGAGCTGGAAGAAGTCGAGTTGGGCTGGGTCCGTTCGCAGTGCAGCTCGATGTTGATCAATCATGAGCTCCAGTACCCCACTGAATGGCACAAGAAAGTTGAAGATGTCCGAAAGTCGCCTGTCTTCGTCCCGTGCTTGGTGGTGCGCGGCAGCATATCTATCGGATTGCCACATCTCCTCAGCAATGGGGATCATGGTTTCGCGGCAGTCCAGTTCAGTCAACACCACTGGGGCGTTGTGGGCGAGAGCGACTTGCTTATCCCAGACGAAGAGAGTCCACCAGATCCGCCTTCGCTCTTCCATCTCCTCTGGGGACGCGTTTAGAAAGCGATAGTCTTTCCTATCGACTACAATGGCTCCTTCAATGTCGAGTGTCGGATCCTCCTCGCCGGCCGGCTGACTGCGCGGACCATCGTAGGGGCTATCACATTGTCCTGAAGCACTTGAGGTGGGACATCTTGAACGGCCAGTCGCAGTGGTAGTCGCGCCCTGGTGGCGGCATGCTATGTCTGCATTTAGTCGATACTCTTTGGCGAGTTGAAATGCCGTGCGCCACCAAATCGACGCGAAAGACCCAACTTCAGTCACCATCGAAGCAAGTGCCAAGTGGAGGTAAGTAGCGACCTCATCCACAAAGCGACGTCTGCCATATTGTCGCGGAGAAGCGCTATCTCCAGGACTAGCCTGCTGTGTTGCTCCACTGGAGCCTGGGGAACGAGACAGGTTGATCGTGGTGGTGAGCAAACGATCCAGGAGCCGCGCTCGCGCCGTGGGCGAAGCGCCGAAGAAGGGAGCTTCAGTCGTGACTGCAGCGACTAGCAACATGCTGCAAAGTAACGCCGGAGTGCACGATCGTGGTTCCGCGTGCGTAAGGAACACTGATTTGCGAAAGACATGGGTGAGGAGGATTGGCGATGCCGGAACGTGAGGCTGTTCAGGATGGTCTTTGAAGTATGCGTCCAGCAAGTCGCAAGCAAGGTTGGAAGAGATGTGAGGTCGGAGATGAGGAATGACAGGTGCCAAGACTGGATATCTCAGGCTCGACGAGGATGCAGAAATAGTAGCGTGGTCGGCATTGTTCGACACATACGATAAATTCGAGGAGTGAACATCTAGGCACTGTAGATGCGCGTCCGGCATGTCCGGCTCTGTCACTTGCCCACCAGAGTGGCTCCAATTACCATCCATGGTTCCCCAGGGCTCAGCAGCCCAGGCATCCATCAGCCATTCCGGCATGCCGATAAAAGGAGTGGTACAGTCCATGCCACTGAGTCGCTGACATGGTTCCTGCGTGGAGAAATTGGCCTGATGTGGTGTCGAGTTGCCTTCCGTCCCGGGTTGGTAGCCATTTGAAAGATCATAGTCAGTACCACTTGTACGGACCAGCGCTGCCTGAGCCTCTGCTGGGAAGCATTGGGGTAATATCAGACCGACGGCTGTTCGCCGTGGTCTTCCTCGGCGACCACTCTGACGCTCGTAGGTACAATCCGCCGACAATTCTTTGCATCAACCACACGGTTGTGCAGCATCACATCGGGCACGAGATGCGTTGCACCTGTCGCACGCCTTTCGAGCCCGGCGTCGTGTGGTCGCGCCAACGGCCCCTGCGGGTGGAGCCGGTGGTGGTTGGCCAGCGTCGCCGTTTGAGCTGTACTGCGGATCCTCCTCAGTGTTCTCCATGTCCAAATCCGGGGCCGCTGCACGTGGCAGTGCTGAGTAACGATATCGAGGATGGGGGACATGAAAACAATTATTAGGCACGTTTGGTCCCAGCACCATGCCGATCACAAATGCGGGGGACTCTGTACCAAAGTTTGCTGTTCACGTGCAAGAAGGGTCCCGGACACGACTGTCGTTCGCGTACAGAACGGGATTTAAAGCTGCTCTGTCGTTGGTCAAACAGACGCGGATCCGGCTATTTAATCACAACAGCAGCTACTGAACCAAGTGGACACCACGTATAGCTGCAAGAACGCAGATCACGATGGCGTCCAATAAAAGCCAGGCGCGGAGGTCATCTTGGTGGAGGACGAAATTGTCGATTCAGAATGGGTTCCATCAACGAGAGCTGCGAGGAAGTGAAGTCCTTCAGCTGGGGGACAAAAGATCTTGTAGTCGAATTTATCCTCAACGATAATGGCGCACCATGCATCGAGCAGGTGCACTCTCCAGGAGCACCGCACACTCGCAACGTCTCGCCATATTTTGCCTCGGCGAGTGTTCCTCTGAACGCGATACGGATCAACGGCCGTGGCCACAGTGCGGCGAAGACCTCGAAGTCTTTAGTGGGCGGAGTGTTGTCGAGTCGATTGATGTATCGGGGTCATTCCCAGCGATCTACGCCCAAATCTGATTGTCTGGACATCGTGTCAAAAGACGATTTGACCGGCATCGAGGCAGTCCATACTCTGGAGATCTTCCGCGGTGTGCCTGTGCTTCGGAGTTACACGACCGTTCGAAACACGTCTGAGAAGGCGGTGATCGTCAAGCAGGCGTCGTCACTTGCCATCGGTGGTTTGACACGCGGGGATCCAAACTGGCACCGGAATTACTCGGTGTGGGAAGCCAACAACACTTGGTTTCGTGAAGCGCAGTGGCAGCAACGATCGCTCAGTGATGTTGGCATTGATGATATCGGGCTCTTGCAGTTGGACCAAGGACATCGAGCCACGATGGCTCGCTATGGAATATCGAATCGTGGTTCTTTTTCTGCGGAAGGGCATTTGCCCATGGGCGGTATTTCGCACGAAGATGGGTCGGACAGCTGGCTTCGGCAAATTGAGCACAACGGGTCATGGCGATGGGAGATTGGCAAGACGGCCTGTACCTCGCCGCAGGTGGACCGAACTCATTCGACCACGACTGGGAGGTGGCGCTGGCTGCCAATGAAGCATTCACGTCGGTTCCTGTTGCCCTCTGCCACGTTGCTGGCCCTTTCACGGACGCGTTCGGCGTGCTGAACGACTACCGTCGCTGTCTCTTGCGCCCGCACGTCGATCGGGCAGAGCTGCCGGTCATCTTCAATGATTACATGAACTGTCTCATGGGCGATCCGACCGAGGCGAAGGTTGCCGCGCTCATCGAACCCGCTGCTCGTTCCGGCGCCAAGTACTTTGTCATCGACGCCGGCTGGTACGCGGACGACCAGGACTGGTGGGAGGACGTGGGCGCGTGGCGGCCGTCGTCCAAGCGGTTTCCCTCGGGGTTTGCCAGTCTGATGCACAAGATCAAAGCGCGGGGCCTTGTGCCGGGGGTGTGGCTGGAGCCGGAGGTGATTGGAATCCGCAGTCCCGTGGCGAAGCTGCTCCCAGAGCATGCATTTTTCCAGCTCAACGGCCACCGGCTGGAGGAACGTGGACGCTACCAGCTGGACTTCTCGCAGGATGCAGTTCGCGAGCACATGGACGGGGTGGTAGATGGGCTGGTGGGCGAGTACGGCATCGGCTACTTCAAGTTCGACTACAACATCGAAGTCGTGAGCGGCAGCGATGCGGCGGGCAGTCCGGGGGCGGCACACCTCGCGCACCAGCGCGCCTACCTCGCATGGGT